ACCTTTGGCGTGAAAATCTTGTGTGCTATCAATTATTTTAATAATGGGCCATAAGTTGCTCCAAAGAGGGCATAAAATTCACTTTTTGGAACAAAGCAATCATGTTGACCTATTTTAAAAGGAAAGTCGTCGGCCCTTTGGATCTTCCAACAGGTTCCATGAAAGTTCTCCAGATGAAAAATACAACCTACATAATGAAACAAATATAACCATAAATAGTGTAATAAAAACATGGCATTTATTTTATAATTAGGAAAAAAAATAACAAACATGATTGTTTGCAAGATGACAATGTATTAGATGATTGAAAAGTGTATGTGCAGTTTAACAGGTAAAACTTACCTATCCAGTTACTGTAATGGGCTTCTCAGAACCTGGGAAAGAGGCTGGTGGTTTGCAAAATATTACAGACACATTCCTTCTTTACCTGGAAAATGAGTAGCCATCTCCCCAGGGCATCAACAGGTGGTTAGCAAGAGGAACAAGAAAATCCCTAACAAACTTAGAGACAAACTGGGTGCTAAACCGAACATATCCACTTGCCAAGATTTCTTTTACCTAATACCTTTTTCCCTTTCAATACATCTAGTTTTAGGTTGTAAGCAGCTGCTAAGGCTTGACAAGTGCCTTCCAGGTGTGTTGAAAGCATAACTCTCCAAATTGTGAGCAGTTGGCTGAGGATTCTCAGAGCATAGTCCCACCGTATCTGGAGGGCACCAGTTGGGAAAAGCTTCATCAAGGAAAAGGAAAAAGAGTTCCTTTTCCATCTCAGTGATCCTGTTGATTGCTGGGCTCCATGCAGGCTGGAAGAGCAGAAATTCAAGGCATGATTGTAGCCAGCTGTGATTAAAGTCAAACGTTTTGATAGCAGGAAATGGGCTAATGAGTTAAGAAAGTATAAGTATGTAAAGCGGGCTTGCTGATTCCTTGTAATAAATCTTAAATGTTCCCTGAGCATGTCAACAAAATGCAATTGTCCAGATTGTCCCAATGCTGGACAAACCTTTTCTAGTAAAATGTCCAGCCACCATATCGATTTTTTTCATTTAAGCAGTATATATAAAAGATGCTGTGCTGTATATATTTGCTGTCTGAAAACAACTTTGACTCTCTTCCTTGAGCACAAGACCATCCATCTACTCAAAACTGACTGCGTGTCTGTTTTACAATGTAGCAATTGTAAAATTTTGTACAAAAATTGTACAGTTTTTTAACAATTTAGCAGCAGCTCCAAATTGTTAAAAACAATTCTGAAATGCCAATATCTTGTTGGATACTCTGTCCTTCAGAAATGTTAGGGACTGTTACTTTCAGGCGTGTTCTTAAGGATGCTACAGGGTGTTTTGTTCACACATCACACTAGGCCCTGGTTTGTTTTACTTGTAGTTGGACTAACTCGCAATTGGTTGTGTTCACACGCTGCTTACAAGCCAGCCTGAGTTTATCCATCCCACTTAGCCAACACCAAACAAAGCATGTGATGGCTTGGTGTGATGTGTGAGCACAGGGAGTGTTTTGCTGTGGGTTGGTTTTCTCCCAACAGTGTAAAAGGGAGTTTTCGTTGGGGGAGAGAGAATGATGAATCACAGGAGAGCCCAAAGTTCTTGGCTGCTTTGAAAACTATTCCCCAAGGCCAAGTCTTTGCTGCCTTGGTTGAGCGGCTTTATCCGTTTGCTATTTTGTGTCTGACTTTTTTTCCCTTCCTGGGCAGTTTGAAGCTGAGTTTCGCCGTTTTGCCATGAAGCGGTCCAGTGTGGGGGGTTTCCAGGAATTCTATCAGCTGATCCAGAGGGTACACCGAATCCCCTGTTCGGATGTCCTCCTGGGATACACAGACATCCATGGAGATCTGCTTCCCATCAACAATGACGACAACTATCACAAGGCCCTGTCGTCTGCCAATCCTCTTCTCCGGATCATCATCCAGAAGCGAGGTAGGAGGCACCTGGAGATTAACTCCTGCTCTTCTTTAATGTACTCTATTTCCATGGAGGTGTGCTTTTTTATTCAAAGCGTTTTGAGAGAGTAAAACAGGGTCATTGCTTCAGGTCCCAAGCAAGTGCCGAGGAAGATCGATCGACTTCGATCAAGATAGTAAAACGAATCAATGATTCTATATTGACAGTAATTTCAACATTTTGAGTTCCTTTGCCCATTCACAATTACTGGGCCGTTGACGGAAGGGAAGAAAAGAATGATAAAAAATGTGATGGGGATGCAATCAAAATAAAACAGGGAAGGGAAGCTCAAATGGACATCATCTCTCATATACTTATTCTTGCTCATTCCCATTACTAGTGAGTCTGGGATGCTCCAGATGTTAATGATCCACAACTCTTAGGCAGTCCCAGGAAGTATGTCCAATGGTGAAGAATGCTGGGAATTGCAGTTTAGCAGCATTTGAAAGATAACAGCTTCCTTATCTTTGCCCACTGCAATTGCCTGAATAGAGCTCTGGCGTTAGTAATAAGACTTCTAAAGGTCAGTTGGGAGAATGTTGCTCCAAATTCAGTGGGTTTTGTTTTTTTTAAATCCATTAGTGCTATTCTTCGATGGGAGATGCTGTTTTAAATGGGAGAAAAGTTTGCTTTCCAAAATACTTCCAGCACTTAGCCAGCCCATAGGAAAGTATGGACTGGTTATTTGTGGTCCTTATAAGGCAAAACTATTAGAATAATTTAAGATCTTTTAATAGCTTCACTGATCACAGCCTTCTCCCTCTGAATCTGGGCATTGGAGCAGATACTCAAATTCAGGAGGGTTGTTTGTCAGAGGGACAGTTGACTTTATCTGTGCAGTAGCAGCGCCCTCTGGCTTTAAAGAAGGGAATGTAGATTTTTATCTTTGGAGACAACAGAATGAAACTTGCAAACCAATACCGTAGAATCGAAAGTTGTTTGTGGACTGAAATCCAGACAGCTGAAATTTGTTATGCAGATTTTTTAAAAATGGCATAAATGTATTTGTCAAGCTTTGATTTGACTCCATCAAAGTTTAGGTTTTTGCATACTAGTAGTTTTCCAGCACTGGAAGGATTGGAATGGGGGAACAAATGAATCAAACATTGGGAAGCCATGTGAAGATACTATCCCAGACATTGAATTTATGCCTGCTGTTAATTCATGGTTTATTCAAGCTTGTTGGCTGGGTTTGCACCACATGTTAAGTGAAAATCAAACAAATCACATTACTTAGCTCAATGGGTAGACCAAAATTCCTGAGCTGCAGTACAAAAACATTCTTATCTCCTGATTTGCCACTTCAGGATTTCCAAAAACCTGTTCTGAAAATGATCTTGTTCTGCTGCCTAACAAATGTTGATGTTCTGGGCTAAAGGTCTTCTGATGGACTTTCTTGAGATTTATAATAATGAGCATCACATTCCAGACAATACCAGGCTGTTGGCCCTAGGCATTACTTTAATTTCTCACATGGCCTCTAAAATAATGTCCCAGTATATTGTGGGAAAGTAAAAGCCAGTTAATCATAGTTTACCCAGGTTGTACAAACTACCAGGTCTAAAATACATTTTTTACAAAGAAGATCGGGAACAGGCAATGGTGGTAGAACCTCAGGCAGAGCATTGGGAACGTGGCAGCTTCTGGCAGAAAGTGGCTGGTATGTCTCTCTGCAGTTGGGTTTTGATCTCATCGGTCTGTTTTCATCCAGAAGCAGCAGTGAAGCTGATGAATGGATTGATGTGATTTATTTGGAATCGGTGTGCAGATGAGAGCGAGCCAGAATCCAGCGCTTCACCGCATGTCTCTTTTCTTTTACTCTTCCTGTCTGTTCAGAGCCCCAGAAAGAGTGGAAACCTTCATTGTTTCTAGCCTCTTGTGTGTGATGGTACAGTCTGAGCTGAGCTGAGAGATGATGGGCAAGGAGAACAGTAGCCACTTGGGACGGGAGACCCACGGATGACGTCTTGTCTAAGGCTCCTGCAAAACCTGGAGCTGACCTAGCTTGGGGCTCTTCCTGGAGTGGGAAAAATGCTTCTGCTGTTCAGCATAGGCTCCCAGGCTAAAAATAAGCCGCTGCGCCCAAAACACAGGGCGATATTTATAACTGGGGATCTGTGTCTGCCAAGGTGCTCCTTTTAGGCATGGCCATCTGGAAAGGGCTCCTCCTTTTTCTTTCTCTCTTTCTTCTGCTTTGGGAAGATGCAAAGACTGGATATTATATACTCTGCTGAGAGGTTTTCCACCATCCTTCACTGGACAAGCAGGCTCGTAAACAGTAGCAAAAATTTCCTCCAGGCAACCAGGCAGGGCAGATTATAAATGGAAACAGCACTGGTATTTTATTTTTTTCCCTTCCTTCAGGATGAAAGAAAGGGGGAAAATAATGCATCTGGGGCATTAAAATATTTGTAGCCACAGCTAGCTCTTTTTGGGAGGTGAATTTGCAAGGTTGCATTGTGTTGCTTCTGTTTTGGCATGGGGCACCCGCTGGGGCATCATGTATATGAATTCCAGGTATCATTTGCTTTTTTCTGGGGTTCACATTCTTCTATTTTTATATAAGTTCAGATGGTGAATGCCACTTTGCTCCACGCTGTTACTAGTGGGGTGTCAACTTTATGGCAGCAACGTGTTTAGACTTGGCAGGTTTCTGTACAAGCAACATACAGTTTGTCACAAACGTTCCTCTTGGTCTCAAGATGATTAATCTGTCCTCTTACCTCCTCTTGAAAAAAAGAATTGTAGACAGCAGAAAGTATAAATGAGGCATAGACAACATCTCCTCCAGTCCCTTCCCATTAATCTTTCTGGTTGGGCTTAGCTGGAGTCAGCCTGAAACATCTGAAGAGTACCACCTTGCCTACTCCTAATATGGGGATCTCTGGATTTCTGTTTCTGTTTTACACAGCAATAATTAACCCGTGGGATTCATTACTCCATAACTTAGTGATGGCCATTGACTTGGATGGCTTTAAAGGGGGATTGGACAATTTCACAGAGGACAGGTCTAATGACCATGCTTGGTCTTGAAGGTTCAATGTTACATTGGGCTGGGGGCAGCATAATTCCAACTCCTAGTTGCAGGGAACATAGAAGGAAGGGGATATGTCTTCATCTCCTACTTGTGAATGTCCAGAGGCATCTCATCTCATTCTTTCACTCACAAGAAAGAAAATGCAGGACTGAGATCCAGCCAGGTCATTGTTAGTTTCCAAATCCATTTTATGATGTAAGAGAGCCCTTAACCCAAACCTGCCCCTCTGTTGCTTGCATTTCATTCTGTTTTTGGCTTAATACACTGGACTCATTCATAAACTGTATCTTACCCGTATCTCAGTGGCTTGTCTGCCTAAGACGTATTCCAATCTTATTACATTACATTGCTTCTTTTGGCTACGTGTTATTTCTGTGTGGGACAAGTAAATGGCTCTTCCTGCCATTTACTTTGTTCTCAAAACCAGCTATGAAGTAGGCTAGACTGACAGAGAGAACTGTTCAATTTATACATCACACTAAGCCATAAGATGGATAGACTCTTTCCCCTTCCTGTCTCCAAGCTTTCATGGATCGGTAGTTTCACCTTCCCCAATCTGGCATCCTTCATTTGCATTTGATTGCACCTCTCAATGCTTAACCATGACTGGGCAGGTTAGGTGATGGGCACTGTAGTTAATACATCCACTGGTGCATGGAAAATTTTAAGTGACTGATCCCTGAGGCCCTTGCTTGAAAAGTCAACTCCTGCATCTTCCTTTACAAGGAATTCCTTTACAGATAGCCTTCAAATCTTGCCAGCACTTTGCCTTCTCTCATCCCTCTGTCCTTTTCCCCAGCATTTGGTATAAAGCTGGCAGAAGCATGAGAGTTGTTGATGTTTTCCTTTTGTACCTCCATTTCCCATTCCTTAGGAGAGAAGCAGGGTTTAAAAGGTACAAGCTCAGGGCTATTGTTACCTTTTGGCAGATTACAGCTGGATTAGTTACAAAGCAGATGTCTCTCTCTTCTCCCTTCCCAACTCTTTATGCGCCAGACTTTTTTCCCCCCCTCCTGGATTTACCCTTGCAGCGTGTCAATAATAATTTCAACTAATGTTTATACTGTTCTGTTCGCTTGTGTCTTTTCCTCTGCTTAAATGCTCATATGCAGATTTTAGATTAGCAAACATTTAACTAAATCATCATATGGCAATATAGGACAAAAACACCCCTTGTTCAATATGGAGGAATCGACAGCCTAAGCATTGTATTGCCGGGGCTTCGGGGAAGCTGATTTCCAATGAATTCTTGCAGGATTCAAGGACTGTACGCTGGTTGCCCCCTTTCCCCTGGCAGTTGTGTTGGTTAAGTGCTGTGGCCCTTTGTGTTCTGAGCGGAAAGCTACAGAGGAATGCCCACAGGGCACAACTCAAAATGTGGTTGAAACTGAATTATTCATATCCCTTTGCAATCCTCCCAGCCTGGTGCTGTGTAATCCTAGAAGCAGCAAATGCCATTTAGAACTAGGGTAACTCTCTCATCTGGGTCAAGAAGGCTGAGAGGAAGGAGGCAATACTTCTGGGCAGAATAAGATCTATGCTACATTTCAGCTGGATTTGTCTTCTAGTGACTACGGCAGTGTTTCTCGACCTGAGCAGCTTTAAGACGTGTGGACTTCAACTCCCAGAATTCCCCAGCTTGGC